TCTTCCGATCTAATGCTTATCAGTTTTAACGTTCCAACAAATTATTTTGGTAATTCAACAAAAAATTATTTTCAGATCTGTATTTAGCAAAATGTTTAGACCTTTCAACAAAATCGTTCTTTCCGTGTGCATTCATATTTAATTCTAAATCCAGGATCTAAACAAAAAAGTAATTTAGTTAAAGTTAATTAAATTACAAGTTAAATTAAAAATGAATTTTTAAAAGTATTATATTAAATTAGAATATCGTATTTTTTTTAAATTATATTACTTTAAATCTAAATAATAAAACGATTATTGCGCAGGGAGCTGCGTGGCAGCTTTCGGTGCCGAAGATCCAAGTTCAAGTTCTGTACCCCGGCCAGAACAATTTAACTAAACTCGATTTTAAAATACATAGTTTGAAGGCAATCGGGAGATAAGGCAAACTACCGAGAGTATCTCTGCCAAAAATAACATTTGTTCATAAAGAGGGAATCGAAGATGAGCGGCCCCCTTAGACTGGCTGCACACCAGCGCGATGTTCGTCGCGCGCAACACGCGATATCGAATAAACGCACAGTTTTAGGGTTGTGCGGTAGATTTTAAGATTACGTCTACACGATTATTTACGTGAAATCTACGTGATGTTTACATAGTCTTTTGGCTACGTAGACAATCTAGACTTGTAAACTATGTAGAATATTATAAATTGTATCATTAATATATACAATATAAAAGAATTAAATTATAAAACAGTCTCTTTGAACCCGTATATCTTGAAACTCCTTATATCGACTTTTATCAATTATAAACTTGTTTCTTGATCAATTCTCTATCGATTGAAAAAAAATTAATTAAAATAAGTCTATTTTTGCTGAAGTTACAATAACAAGTATGGATGGGAGCCTCAAAATCCAAGTGTGTACTTTACGTAAGAAAAATAGGAGCGCGTACTCCTAGGATTAATCATCATTTTAAATCATCGTTCAAAAACATCGTTTTTAATGATAGTTATAAACCGTAAAAAAATTATCATGTATAAACAATTCATTAGGATAACGTTTTAATTATTTATGATAAATTTTATTAAAACGATATAAAACAATAAGTTACTGTAGAAATTCTATCGATATTTCAATGATTAAAATGTTTAAAATTGTTTTTATCAGATAATGATAAAAAACGATAGGAAACAATAACATTTCTTTCAGAATAGAGAAAGTGGAACGATAGATACGATAGGACACGATAAAATATTTGGCAGATCCTATCAGTTCTTATTGTTTTCTATCGATTTTTTTAACAGAGTAATCGAACAAAAATATTTCTGTGATTATACGTAAATAGACTATTTCCGCAATAGATTTGTTTATACAATTTAACTTGACACTTGTTAATATGACATTCAAAAGCTTCGTAAGCATTGTTCAGCCATGCGCGATAAAAACGATTCATAGTTATACATCCGCAAAATATTGCGGAAATAGATTTGCTTTCATCGTTATCCTCTGTTAAATGCAAAAATGCGAGCAGAACGTGCTGCGTAAATAATTGCTGCGTGCGCGCAGCGTAAACGAGCACGGTGTGTGTATAGAGGCGTTTATAATTATTTTTCGAAAATGAATACTTCGGAAAATAACTTTATCACACACGGTTGAATTAGTCTTAAACCTTTAATTTGGTAAAAAAATTCGAAAAATTAAAGATTACAGAAATTTTGGTGATAGGAGTAAACAAAAAATTAAACAATAAAAAATTATTTTAAATTATAATTATAAAGTACTCTTAAAGCCATTCAACTTTGGTTCAAACATTTTTTTCTATATCTCGTAGTTTCGACGATATTCGCAATGAAATAAAAAAACCGATTTTTTTCTAAAGGATATTTCACTCCTTAAAAGTGCGAAGCGGCACAAATATGCGGTAACTTAATTCTTGGTTTTGTCTGGACAATAACATATAAGCTCATCGAAATCGGAGAGGGACACTTGGGTCCCTTTCCTTGTAAGTTGAGTTAAAAATTATTAACTTTTGAACTTTTAACTAATTAACTAGTTATTACCCAAACTTGGTATTTATTTTATATTATATATACATATAATATACACAAAATATATATAAAACTCAGACATCTATATGTCGCGCTATCTGTTTCCATTATAAAAAATCTATAACTAATTGAAGCAAAAGTCTATCTTCTGCAAATACTGCCAAACCCATGTGTGAATTAGATACTGTGCGTTTCACCGTGACATTGGCACGGCAGTCGGTGTAAAGTAAACGGTAATGATCGATAAAATGTGCAAAAAATCGAACCCAATGAGCCAGCGTGAGATAATGTTTCCATGAATCACGGCCAGTGTCATCGGAAGAAAAAAAGTATTCTCATAAAAAATACAAAGCGATTCGCTGTTCGCCGTATTGACGGAGAGGAGACATTTCTGAAAAATGCTGCATGGCAAATGTGTTGCTTGTTATTAGCAAGATAAAAAAATAATACTCGCTTTGTTTTACCCGCGACAATTCTTTGAATAACTAAATCTATTTTTCTTTATGTAGTCACAGTTGTGTCATCTTGATGCTCAAATACGGTTTTATTTATTTCATACAGGCGGCAACTCACAATTCTCTCGCGTCCAGACTGAGAGGTGGCGCGAAAAGTCTCAAGAATTACGGAGCAAAATTTACTCCAGAATCCTGATCTCACCGTTGACTACGAAGACATCACATAAGGATTTGGCAAATATGTCTCGAATCCCACTTATGGCACCTGAGAGTTCGCAAGTCGCAGAGCGTCAAAATATCGTAATGCTTGAGGTACATTCTACAGATAAATACTTTCGTACAGATTTGAATATAATTTTCAGTATAAATTTGACACGAGATGTTTTTATTTATAACGTGGATTAATTGAATATTTAAATATTTGAAAATAAAGAACTTTGTGAAACAAATGTAAAAGTATATGTTTATGTACTTTTATTATTGTATATTTTTATATTTTTGAAATTGTATCTAATAAGCCTTTTTATTTTTTAATATATATAATTTTTAATTATCTTTTTTTTTGTTTAATTAAGAAATAAAAATACAGTATCATCTTCTTTTTATAAGAAAAACTGAGCATTATATAACCGAGCTTTGGTACTTAATAAGAAGAAATAACTTAAAATTACATGCTGTCTTTCACGCACACAAATACGCTGTAATAATTGTAACAAATTATGTAACACAGGCTGGATTACCCGGTGACTCGTGGACATACTGCGTTGAGAGGGAACGGCTGGCTAGAAGGTCGGAATGGTTTCAAGCGATGCTTATTGGTCCGCTTGCACCACCATCAACGGATTCGCCGCCGTTGTTGCGACTGCAACACGTTGACAAGCGGGCGTTCGATCATTTTCTCAGGTAAACATTAATTCTGCAATAGTATAATTTTCTTCTCATCCTGTGAAAATAATTTTTCGAAAACCGAGTGACAGAGGATTTGCGAATATCATGATACATTTATATAAATATTAAAATATATATATCAATGCACATATATTGGATATATATTTTTATGTTAAATGCGGATATATAAAATCTTTTTATGCTAAAAAGTAAATCTAGAATTACGTGCCAAAGTTTTTATTTTGTTTCGGAAAAACTATTAAAAACTTTTAATAAATAATATATTTTCTATAGGAAAATAAATACAAGAGTATGGGACGAACTAATAAAATAATGTAAAAGATAATGTAAAAAAATAAACAAATTAACTAATTATTCAATTAGCATATTAGATAAAGAAATATTATTATGGATACTTTTTCTGTTGTAACAAGTTGTAATAACTACTTCAATCATTTAAAAAAAATTATAATATAATCTCGTAATGCAAATTTGAAATAATGGATTATGAAGATTTATAGACAATGACAAATAAAGTGAGAATCCTCAACTGAAAAAATTATATGAATTCTGCAATAATGCGCAGCATTGCTATTTTAATTTAAATCGTTAGTTTTGAAACAAATATACAGAGTATCCCAAAATTCGCAAATCAAAATATAATAAAAATTAAAAAAGAAAACTTTAACCGGCTCAACGATTTAAATTATATATAATAAGTATAATTGCTAACGAGCCTGATTAAGTGTCCTTGTCAATGTTACAATTAAAATAACAAAATATAATAGCAAAAAAGTCTTCGAAAAATTAAGGGGGTATTCTAGTCTAGCGGATTGTAAAAATCGATTTTGTTTTTTTTTACATATTTTGCAAGTATTTGATATGGAAAATATGTCTGCAAAAGGATTTAGCCCGATTCGCAAAATTAACAAAGTTATAGGCTGATACTCGTAATCGATTCTTATATTTGAGATCATCTTAAGTATAGTCTTAAGATGTTACAAGTCTATAACAGAGCCGTATTAGCATCTTAAGACATTACTTAAGACGGCTTTGAAATAAAAACCGACTTATGAATACCGGCCGTAGCACTTGATAGAGAGTGGTCTCAATCTATGTAATCATGTACAAAAAACTTTAAATCCGTTTTTCTCGAAATCACGTTTTTCAAATTGGTACTCATAATATCTCGAAAACCAATTGACCAATCAATTCGGGTTTGTGCACACATCTTCAGCATATTCGTAGCTATAGCCCCTACTTCGATCAAGTCAAAATATGTTTTTTTTTAATTTTTACAATCCTTTAAAATTGAAAAAAATGGTAAAAATCTAAAATTAATTTTCAAAATAATGTCAATTTAAAAATTTTTAATATTTTATTTATGTTCTGGTACCAGCTATAGTTAAACTTATACTAATTAAGATCTTCTTTGATTTTTTTGTTTTAAATAAGCAAAACAACCGAAATTATGGGTACCGTGGACCAATCTTTTTTTTCCATGATCTCAGTATATATTGTATACAGCGCTTATTTATAATTATTTTTAAATACAAATATTTTGAAACATGCTTCAAATATGTATAAATATGTAGATCGGAAGAGCACACGT